CACACATGAAATCTCATGAAAAAATGTGTGAGAGAAACCATAGAGCAAGCAGAGAGCCTGGGTGTGTGGGAACCTGCAGCTTCAGAGCAATCTGTACCCCATTTCCCTGCCCCACCCTGGGCACTGCTTTTCCTGAGCAGAGCAGATTCCCATCCAGATGAAGAGCACTGAAAACCGCTTAGCTGTGGGATAGAAATTCACCTTTCTCCTGCGTGCTGTGTACCTTGCCCTAAGGGGGCTGAGAGTGCTTAGGAAAGGAAGATGTATTTTTATATACAGACTCCTCTGCATAGTGGAGACAAGAGCAAGAGATCTCGTGGCCTTGGAGGATGTGCGTGGTGCAAAGACGCCGTCTCAGACAGGCCTCTGTGGCAACCGCGGGGGGTGCAGGTTATTCCAGCTTTGATCTGCCGTCTTCCGGCCGTTCCGACACGCGCGGCAGGGAGTCCTCCGCACGCTTCCCTACCTCCTGCTCCCTGCTACCGCCACCTGCAGACTCAGCTGTCTGCTTCAAGTTCACATCGGAGACGTGCGGTTTCCATCAGCCCCGCAAAGCGCTAGGGGTGTTGGTAGGATTGCTTTTTTCCCTGCTGATGAATGTCTCCGGTCTGTGTCCCAAGCCTGTGACAGCCGGGCAGCGCTTGGCTTGCCAGGCTCAGCTGATGTGCTGGCACGAGGGCTCCCAGTGGATTTGTGCCGCAGGAGGAGGCCGAGGCCAAGCAGCAGCGATGCATTTCTGACTCAGATCGGCACAGCCCTGACCACTTTCATCTGCCTTGTGCCTCAGTCTTTTTCTTTGTTCCATTTTATGTAATTTTTTCCTGGCTGTTGGACCTTTTTGATCCCTTCCACCAGGGAGCTTGTTTTGTATATACAAATAACACTCACACATGTTCAGGCTGTGCTTGCTGATCTATTTTCCTAGTGATTGGGTTCTCTCCCAGCCTGCAGCAGAGCTAATAATCAGCTCTGTCTGTGCCCGGCTTCCTTGAGCAGCAAGTTACAAATTCTCTTTGGCACCAAGAGTTGCTGCAAGCCCTGGTGCTTGCTTTCCCTTGCTGATATGCAACTGCTGGGGTGAATTAGGTTCAGTTTGTTATTGTTTCTGGACAGTGGTTTTTTTTGGAATTGGTGGCTTTCAACAACAACAAAAAATCATTAAAAAGATATTTATCTTAAGTGTAAATTAAGATTTACTGTTCAGACACTCCAGGGGAAATCACTCTAGGGTGATTATTTCCCAAAGGAGGCTGTTAAGCTTTTTTTGGTCACAATTTTGAATGGGTTTTTGAGAGGTTTTATTGGAAAAGGGAATTTACAATTTTCTTACCTTATTTCCTTTGGCAATTTCTATATTGCCTATTGCTCGAGAAGTACCAGTTTAGCTGAGAAATACTTGGGTATAAAGTTTTTATTGGTTCCGGCTACTGCAAAAATGGGAATTGCTTTTCTCTGTGTGCAGTGACCATGATATTCCCCTTGCTGGAGATGGCAAAGGGACATCTTCTGTGGAGAGCCGTAAGAGTCCTTCCATTTAGGGTGGAGACACGTGAGATCCTGCATGCTGAGGGAGAAGAGAAATGGGGAGCAATTGTCTGCTGTTCCTTGCAAAGCAAGAGTTGGGACGATCCATGGAACTGTCTATTTACTGCAAGCAAAGGGAAGCACGTAGAGGCGTATTACATATTTATATAAGCATTTTTATGTATTGTGTGTGCACATAAACATCCATGGCATGTTGTGCAAGTGGATTCCAAAGGGGATAAGAGGCGTTCCTGAATAATGGGCCTGCTTATGGGTAATAATATGTCTTGTTGCAACTTCCAGTCCAGGATGTTGCTACATTGCAGGTTTTCTGTAGCTCTCAGGTGCTCTCAGGAAAGATCATCCCGTGCTCACCCTGTTTCTTATGCTCCTCACTTAGATACCTGCCGTTGACTAGAGTGAGAGGCTACATGGATGTCAGTGCCCATAGGGCAGCATTCTGCACTTTGTACAGCCGGTGCAAAGTTACTCCTACGTGGAGAAAACTTCCCCCGGAAACCCTTAATTCTTATCTTTCCAGTTCTGTGGACAGGTGACTAGTAAAGGGCAATTTGTGGGCAAGAAGGGACTGTGCTGGTCATCTAATGACAAACATTTCACAAGACCTTGGTTTGCTAAGAGAGCCCAAATCACATCTAATTGTGCTGTGCTCATCTAACATTCCCCTTGTTTCTCAAGGGAAGCAGAAACGTCTCCCGTTTTCTGCCATTCCCTTAGAAAATCCCTTTGTGCTCTGCGAGCTCTGGGGTGAAATCCACTCCCATTGACACGTGTCCGACACCCTCTGTGCACCAGAATGGCAAGAAAAGTGAGGAACACTGTGACAATGGGATCATTTTACATCTTTTTATGCTTGGATCTTTATTTTTTTCTGAAAAGACCCAGAGGGAGAATCTTATATAATGCTTCATTTGCATTCCCCCTCGCGAGGCTGTTGCAAATAGGAAACTCTTAACATATCAAAATAAGTTTTTGAGAGCAATTCGTTGGGTAAAAGGCTTGGTCGTGCTGTCTGCCTAGTGAGCTGGGAAGGAGCCGGTGGATTGAGAGGAGGCTGTTGGTATTGTTGAGGCTGTTGAGGAGAGCAAAGTCTTTGATTTTGAGTAGGGGTGAGGAAGAGTGGAGAGAAGGACCCGTTTGAGCATTTTGATGACTTGGGATTGACAAAGTTAGTGATTTTAAAGCTTTCTGTCTTGGAGGCAGAAGAAAATCATGCATTTCCATAAAGAAAGCCCCATTTTCTTGGATGACAATATCTGATGCTGGAAATAGAAGGTCAAACAAATATTTTCCTTTTCAGTAACTTCTGGGAAATGAGGGGGAGCTGGAGATGCAGAAGAAAGATGATCCTATTTTTATGGCACACAGACGTAGAAAATAAAAAGAATTTGGAAGCAAATCATGAACTTAGTGTTAAAGAAGGTCTGACCTGCCTTCTAGTTCAGCAGAGGACATCCTGTAATGCACTTCTTAGGTCCTAAACTGGTTTGCCTCTACAGTGTCTGTCCCAAGCGATTAGACTACATCTGTGCTGGTAAGTTAGAGGTGTTTAGCACTCTTCCTTGATAGCACAGAGGAGCACTCCTGTCTGTTACTAAACACACCTGGCATCCAGAATAGGGCAAGCACATGCAAAGTGGCTTTGGAGAGCTTGTTCTCCACTGGACCAAAAACACCCCAGGGACAGTCCTGACGAGTTAACAGCATGAAATAATGAAGTTTTGGTGCTTGGGAAAACTTCCTGCACAACCCAGTAGCCCAGATGGCCCTTAAGTGCTCTGCATGGATCATGTAGCACCTCCTGTCCAAAGGATATCTGACCATACACCCCAGCCTGGTTGCTCAAATAAGCGTGAGGAGTTTCCACATCTTCACAAAATCAAAACAAATGCAAAGAAGCCCAATCAGAATCAATTCATATTTCTCACAGGTTGGTGGGTTCTGGGGAGGGATGGTTATTGGTACAGATATTGATGCAGATGGTGGTTCAGATTTTCTTTGGCCACCAGTGAAATGTCTCAGCGATCAGATCTGGTTGACTACCACAGAACAAGCAGCAGTCCTCCAGATGTCATCCCTCTGGGAGCATAGCCTCGTCCTTTGCAGTGCTTTCTAGACAGTATAATTAAATACTGTAATATAGTAATATTTAATAATACTATTTTCCTAGGTTCTAACAT